GCAGAGAAATATGTTGTTCGTCTGATGAAGTGTTCATGAAATCAAAGGCCAGTAAATTCATGTGGGGATTTGAAATAGACGTTGTTTTCAAAAAGGTCGAAAGTAGTTATGGGCTACTAACTAATGTAAGCTAAAATATTAATGCACATTGCCTGCATTGAAATTGTAGGTTGAAATTTAATTACCGGCATTTATTAATTCTCTAGCTAAACGATACGTTCGATGGACCTTTCACCATCAATACTGGCGAAGGTGATATTACGAAACTCGGAGAGTTGGAAGCGTTTAAGGGAATGACGTGAGCACTTTGAGTTACTTTGTGATTAATAAAATTATCTGAACTAGATTTAAAACTGTAATTTTGCTTAGATTAAATGACATTTGGGACACTGATTACGCAAACATGCTTAACGGAACAAGTAAGAATAAAAAAGTTTCATAAAAGCATTAAAAATCAATGAAAATTTGTAACCTTAATTTAATTTACCTTTTCAAAGCATGATACAGAACTAAATTTTAAAAAATGTACAAATTTTTGCTTTAAATAATAATTATGCTCAATTTGCGCTAAATATTTCATACCCCATTCATTATTATTTTTGCCCTGATATAATATTTTATTACTTGAAATTATTAATTTACTAATTGTGCGAACATTATCACCATTTATTAATAAAAATTTCTTTATATTTAGCGAATGTTGTAACTCCACCAGGTTTGAAATTAGGTGACAAGCGCTACATATTCTTTGCTGGTTTATGCCGTTCATTTTCAGTCACAGCAACGGAAGCTGTCTTCTCAGAAGATGTTCCTCAATTGAAAGTGAGTACCATTTTGTCACTTGCTCGGTTTGACATTATTACTGACTCATTACCACAACGGAGAATGGTGTGTTGTGCACTTGAACCAGCTGACATATGCCGAATGCGTTAATTAGTCACATTGTGGAGAAGGTGTTCAACGAAAAGTCGAACAGGACCACAAATGAAGACAATACACCAAAGACTTTATATTAGTTGAATTCAGAAGGTGTTGTGTTGGCCTATTTCACATAAGGATTAGATTTCACTCTGAACTTTCTAAGTTTCTTGGGGCTCGAGTTGCAGTGCTTTATATTTTTGTTGTTCTGTTTGAGTTCACTCTCAACATATTCAAAGGGCGGTCATGTCAATTTCGATTCGGCTGTATTCTCTGGGATCCATAAGCGGGTAGATGATATTGACCGATATTTGAATTTAGGCTACTACTCATAACTCCTGTAATTCTAGTCAAATTTACCCACTTACTAAATTGTTCTCTTCCCATTGATTTATTGACACGAATAACATTCTGACA